AGTATAAGTTATACAATTACCTAGCGCAAGAGACCCTTCCCAAAATATATTTCAAAAGATAATATATTCTTCTTTATGACTTCTCAGCTCGACTGATACCTGTTTATTGATATATATTATCTCCTAACCAAGATTATTATGCCTTCCTGACCCCCACTCGATCTTCCTAGCCAACGGATCAAACCCTACAAAGACACAGAGACTCAAATCCTAGCTGTGATTGCCTCTCTAGAAGGATTAGGACATGAGAAACCAAACCTTGCTGCACTTGCTCGCAAGTATGAAAGTCCAGTATCAAGACTTCGAGCATGCTGGCCGGGAGTTCATTCAAAACGGATAGGGAAGCAATCAATGGCAAGCTTTCCGAAGACTAGGAACTTGCAGTCTGTCAGTACTTGGACCGCTGAGAGCCAGTAAGAACTAGTGTACGTCTTCCAATAGTTTCTGGTTGTGCAAATACAATACTGCAATATTCACATACGAGTCTTGAGCCTGTTCCTGTTGTTGGGGACCATTGGATGAGACGCTTTCTAACTCGTCATTCAGAATATTCAATTCGAGAACAACACACTCTTGACATCGACCGAAAGCATGCGTATCAGCCAGGAGAGATTCATGATTAGTTCGATAGATATCACACCATCTGTAACAAGTACCAAATTGAGATTGGTGATTGTTACGATTTTGATGAGACTGGATTCAGAATTGGAGTGGGCCGTGATCAGAGGATTGTGACATGGGATCCTTCTCAACAGTCATATCTTGGGAGCTCTACAAGTAAAGAGTTAATTTCTGTTTATGAGACGATCAGTGGTGATAGAATCATACTTCCTCCATTGATTATAAGTTTTGGTGTTATATACTAAGAACCTTGGTATACAAGAACTCGTAGATCAGATAATTACCTGGTCGGCACTTCGGAGACTTAGTACAGTAATGACAAATTGTCTATAGACTGGTTAGAGCATTGCAAAGACTATTCTCTGTGGTGAAAAGTTGGTACCTATCGCCTTTTGCTCCTAGATGGATTTGGATCCCATTGTACAAAACCATTTATTGATTACTATGATAATCATAAGATTATTGTCTTCTGCCTTCGCTTACATAAAAGTCACCTGCTCCAACCCCTTGCTGTCGTTATTTTTCAACCTTATAAACATTATCATTCTGAGGCAGTAGAAACTACAACCCATACTGGATGTGGAGAATTTGACAAATTGGAATTCCTAGACGCAATTGACTCAATTCAGCAACAGACCTTTAAACAATCAACAATCAAGCCTGCTTTTAAAGCAACTGGTCTTATTCGATACAATCCCGATATTGTAATAGCAAAGTTATGTGTGGCCATCGTCTCACTCATTAACCAATTACACCACGGTGAAGTGAGTCACTTTCAGTACCACTCACGATCCAAAGCCTAAAACGTATGGGAGAGGAGTTGCAATATGATGCCCAAGATCTATCACTGACTTCTCAAAAATGACTGAAAATGGTTTTGCAGGGTGGCTTGGCACAGGCAAAATCAGCTGCCTTAGCAAAGGAGTACATGGAACATACTAGACCTGCAGAAGAGGCCAAATTAGCACGACGGAGAGGGCCGAGACAAAGACAGGTGCAAGAGGGAGGTGTAACTTATGCATCTTAAGCACATCAAATAGCAAAAAGCAGGGAGGATGCTAAAGTTGAAAAGGCAGAGAAGTAGTTCCAAAGAGCTTAAAATACAAAGAAGCGAATAGAGTGTGCTACACATAAGCCTTTCCTTGATGAGATCAAACTCTGTGTAAAGAATAGGCGAACAATTTTGACCTATAAAAAGAAAATATCAAAGCTTATAGTTCTTGGTATTAGGAAACAAGTAAGGTTGGGGAAAATACATGTAAATTAGAATATGTTTTGTACTGTAGACTCATAAAATAATTCTGAGCTACAAAAAAAAGTTGTATTGAGCGGCAAAAAAAAATGGTATTGAGCCACAAAAAAAGTTGTATTGAGCCACAAAAGGTTGTGTTGAGCCACAAGTCATGTTGAGCTGTAAAGTCATGTTGAGCTGGCAGGCACTTGGGAGGAGTGCCCAGGTTGCAAGTGAGCGAGCAGCCAGGGTTGTAATGCTTAGTCACAACCTTGGCACGGGTATTGACTAGTCCAAGTTGGTCATGCTTTCTTCTGCCTCCTTGTTCTCCTTCGTGGCCATGGCCACCCTTTCCTCTGCCTCTACCACTATCCTTTCCGCCCACCTCTCCGCTTTTGACCCTAACTCCCAGGCCCTCAATACCTCCTCCCCCTTCTCCCTCATGCCTACAGCCACTCTTTCCTCCACCACTACCACCTTTTTCTCTGCCACCACCACGGCCACCTTTGTGGCCTCTGACACTTTTCCCTCAGCCATCTCTGCTCTCCCTCTCGCCTCAGCCACCTCCCTTCCCACTCCTGCTACCACTCCCCTTAGCAGGTCAGCACCCTGCTCTCCGGTCAACAATAGAATTTCCACCTCTGCCATCCCCCTTTCAGCTGTGTACACCCATTTTAATAAGACCGATCCGTGGTGCTGCAACCAAGCAATATCCTTCTCCATAGAGAAATTCTGCTCACTGGGGGTCGACAGCACAACCAACTGCTTCACAATACACTTGGCCGAAAAGGATCTGCCATATCAGTTAGCCATCATAGACATCCGTAACTAAAGTCCACTCGATGGAAAAACTTAAACGGTTGACAAAGAAGATGAAATGAACCCCCAAACTGACGTTAAAGGCAATGTAGGATTTCTGGCCATTAAAGACTTGCAGCTATCGCGAGATAGGAATCAAGGGACCATATTGGCTAGTGCCTGGAATGTGACATGTCACAAGAGTAGAGTAGAAATACCAGAGTGTTGGGCTGTAAAGTCATGTCGTGTTGAGCTGGCGGGCACTCTCTTGAGAGTGCCCCAGGTTCTGAGCGAGTGAGCAGCCGGGGGGTGTGGCTGCAAGCCACACCCTTTGCACGAGTACTTGTCACGTCATGACGTTTGTGATCATGACCGGGCTTGCATTAGCATGCAGATGATGCTTATGCTTGGCTCAATTGGGTAGAGGAACCTTGAGGGAGGGGAAATAGAGACATCAGGGACAATGTACGAGTACGAGTAAAATAGATATAGCATTCCATAAAAAAACATAAAATTTAGTGAAAGAAAAAGAGAAAATACAAAAACAACGAGAAATTAAAATTGTTTCCTCCATTATCTGCGATGCAGGCTTCAATGTGTGAAGACATCGATTGTATATGACGATTCACCCGATCTAAGGGATAGTTCCTCCACTCCTAGATACAGATAATTGTTATTAAAGGGGAAACGTAGTATATAAAGAAAATCTTACCCATTCAAGTACCCAGCAAATCTCATGAGCTGTCATTCGGGGACCAATCTGGCCTATAAGCTTATCTTTAAGCTCTGTCCATATCGTTTCGATAGGATTTAAGTCTGGTGAGTTTGCCGGCCAGACTAACTTTCTTAATCCCAATCTTTCCCGTAGGATATTATGATAATGGTGGATATGCGTGGGTGCATTATCCTCCATTATAATAATATCCCTGTCGGGAAAGTCCTCCACTGTGCGTTGGGTGAAGGGATAGAGATAGGGTTTTAAAATCCTTTCACAATAGATATACCAATCTATCCCTCCCTTTCTATCTACTTTCCTAACCTTTAGTTCAGGTTCAAGAAATGGTACCGGGAGTCCAAGAGCTATAGCATGGTTATTTTCTGCTGCTCTCTTCTAACTCATACTCTTGTTGGAGTGCAGCAGATACCTGTCTCTGCTGTGCTGGGGTTTCATAGGGTGAAGCATATAAGTGATATGGTAATTCATTTCCTTTATTTATATAGTATATTAGCTTTTATATATATTAAATAATAATAGTAACAATAATAATAATAATAATAATAATAATAATAATAATAAATATTTAATAAATAAATAAAAATAATAATTAAAGTATCATACCTGATATACCATACAAAATAGCTCCCCAAAACATGACTGTTGCTCCTTGTGCAAACCTTCTTGGTATATTTTGAGGGTGGTAGGCCTCACCAGCCCAGCGCAATACCTGACGAGCCCGGCGGCGATGCAGACTGCCGGTCTCGAAACATGACTCTTCTGTAAAAATTACAGATTGCCAGTCATATTCTCGGGGGGCATAACAAAAGGCAAGCTGGGCCTCTCGTTGGGCAGGACTCAGCGTTGGCTTTGTCGTCGGTTTGCGGCAATAAATTTTATTGGCGGCAAGGACTTTTGAAACTGTTTGTCGACTAATATCTAGGTTGGCTTTTTATTTTTATTTTTTTAGTTATCGGTAAACTCATAACTTAGAATTTGAATTATAAAAATTTATATAATATTAATATACGTACCTTCTTCTGCAAGTTGTGCGAAAGTCATCCGACAGTGCTCGGCATCCATCAGTGCTGTTTGCCCCAGATGGTTTTTTCTGCCTCTGTAAGTGCTTCGTTGGATCCCTTTAGAGAGGTTGGTAAAGGCTTGAGATTCTCAGTTGTACAGAGATCCTCGGTACCATTTTCACCAGCTCGTTCTCATGCAGTGCGGATAATATTCGAACAGGTACTTTGCAGTACTCCTGTCTTCTCCGATATCTCCCTCAAAGTCATTTTTTGTCGTCCATCCAGAATCGCATATCCAAGAATCTGACCACGCTTGCTTAATGATGTTGTAGGACCCCGTGGAGTTGGCATTTTCACTATTTCCTCAAATTATTGAACGTATACTTCCGGCCCGTGAGATTCATATATCTTTATATCCTGACTAATATACAACTTGTCCTTTTCTCATTGGCTACCATCTTCAATCTGGGCTAGTGCACACTAATGCACGCTAATGCAAGCCCGGTCGTGTTCACAAACGTCACGACGGGACGAGTAGACACATGATGCAGGCTCGCAGGAGCAACTGCTGACAAATACACAGATTGGTTAAAATCAGAGTTACTTGGCACCCGGTTTCGTGGGTATCATAGTTGGTTATCACACCAGTCTAACACACTGGTGGTCCCCGGTTCGAGCCCGGGCGAAATCAATCTTTTTTTTCCCCCTTCCTCTCCCCTCCCGCTGGTCATCGCTTTTACCCTCCACTACCAGGAGCCCAGTCCCTTCTTCCCACGCACACGATTTCGTCCACCCCTCCTGCTCCTTCCGGATGGTGCGCCATGTGTCCCGCCACAAGCCCAAAGCCTTGATTCCCGCCTGTCTCCAGCCAAAATCCGATCCGACTCCGATAACGGCGCGCGGAGCCACGACCGTTGGCGCCAGAGAGACTTCCACCCCCCACAGTCCCGACAAACACTTGTTTCTCCCTCCCTCCCCCTCTCGCAAAGTCGCAGGTGTGTAACTCGTCAAGTGCGTCAAGCTTCCCGCGAGCGAGCGGTTCCGAATCTCGCGGCGCGCCTAGAGGCTCCATATCCTACTCGTATGTATCATACCGGGTCAGCGGAACATTTCACCCATAATTTTATGATAGTATTATTGTTATGATATCCTCCGCGCGGTGGCTTTGGGGTTATCGGTGCCGGAATCATGCTTCGTTGGGGGGAGGGGGTGCACGCAAGCCGGCGGCAGGGTTGGTCATGAGGAAGCGGGAACAAGCAGGATTGGGGGTGTACAAGGTACGGGAAGGTGGAAGGGTACCAATAGTTTAAGTACAGTATATGATAGAGGAGAAGTGTGATGAAGAATTCATCTACGGGCTTCACGAGCACACAACAAACCCTCGTAGGTTGTGACGCGAGTGATCATTCATGACGTGTGATACTGTACTGTACAACAGTCTCAAGCTGGGAGCACCCCGCGAACAGAAAAACTCTAATGCGAAAAAGGCAAAGTATATCATCCGTACTATTGCTCAACAGAAACAACTGACCAACTAACATGCCGCGAGGACCGAAAAAGCAAGAATAGCTAAAATTGTAAATTCAAACGTCCCCACCCCCGTATCCCGCATTTATGGGAATCATTCACCCCCAGCGTTACCAGCTTTCCCCACCAGATGCTCCGGCTCCCGGGCGGTAGTATCGAGGTTAGTTCAATCCTCGGAAGAGCCGGTTAGTTGGTCAGCCGTGGCCCCCCCGAGTTTCTTCTGGTCCACGAGGCTGACTTCACCGTTCTCGCCTCGAAGGTCGGCCTCGACCGTTCTAGCGATCCGCGTCTCTTGGGTGGAAAGATCTCTCACGACGTTCTCCTTCCAGCCGTCAACGACGGATAGGCTACGCTCAACTTCTTCGGTTAGACGGCCGACTTTCGCGTTCATGCTTTCTACCGGCTCGGCACTTTCGCTGCTCTCGGCCTCCGCTTCCGCCTCCTTATCAGTCCCACCTCCGACCGACCTCCAAACTTCCTCCAGCTCCTCCGTCCACCCCAGCTCCTCCGCCAGCCTTCCCACCCCCCGATCGCACCCGCCTAGCAAAAGCACGTCGTCCGCCCGCCCACCAATCCCCCCGCCCTCTCATTGTTCATTAAAACCCTGACCGCCCCCTCCCTCGCCCGTCCTGGAAGCGCCGCAAATGGGTAAACGCTCAATGAGCTCCCCATTATGATCACTAAGTCCGCCTCTTCGACCATTCTAAGCCCCATGTGAAACTCGCTCGGCAAGCTCTCCCCAAAGAATACAATATTCGGCTTCACCAACCCGGTGCAAGTCTCGCACGAGCCGTGGGCTTCGACGAGCTTCTCCGGCGGAACTCCCGCGGCGCGTTCCAGCGTGTCTATGTTCTGGGTGAAGCACTTTTGAAGCAAGTCCTTCTTTGCCGTTGGCGATATGAAGGCATGTGTGATAGTCTGGGTGAATTGGCCGGGGTTCAGTGATTTCGCGAGGGTGTAGGAAGGTTGGGGATTGGTACGGCAAAGGTTCATGTCGAAGACGGTCTCCGGGTGAGGGAGGTTTAGAGTTTGGTGGTTGGAGTAGAGGCCTGTACCTGGTGTGCGGAAGTCCAGGATACCGGCAGAGGTGCAGGTTCCGGCACCACATTATGGGACATGGTAGCTTGTGGTGGAGGGGTTTTGGGAAAGAGGGGTATAGTACTAGAAAGACTATCCTTTCGCACTTCCCACTGAAGATGAATTCCGCCACTGCAGGAATGCCCCGGCTGGAGAGTGTTTCTGGAGGGGTATCAGAATCGACCTGGGTAGACAGTTCGGCACCCGTTTGTTTCTTTTTAAAAGGGTTTCTGTCTTTCTTCAGGTTAGGTAACGGTATTGAGAGGGTAAGGTTGAAGGAAGCTTCCTACCGGCGGGATGTCTGGCGCGGGGCGGGATCACGTTAGTCTTTGCGAAAAGAGCCTCACATTTTAAAGTCGGATGGGTGCCATGGGCGGGGGTGATGTCATTCATCGCTCTTAGTCCCAGCATCCTTCCCTCGTCCACCTGGAATATTCAATTTCGCAGCCAGTTGTGCTAAGGCCTGATTTGGCAACACTTAACTAAACTTGGTCAAAAAACCGGATTTTCAAGTCTTTTCAGTGATCAAGTAACTCAACACCTTGGGCGAGGGTATTATTCTTGTTCTAGTAACTATGGAAACCAGAGGTCTTTTTGGAGACAGTAGTAAGTGGGAGTAAGCTACTAGGTATGATATCGCAGAACAACATGATAATAACAACAGAATTAGCCGAATGCTAAATGAATTCATTGAGATAATGAAAGTTCCTTCTAAACCTTGGGTCTCACTAGTTCAATTGGGTGTTGCTTCGAGGCAGCTAGTCAAGGAGTTCGATTTTTGTAGCTTTGTATCCCTTTGCAGGAAACATTCTCGTCCCATCAAATAATCCTTAGATCGCCATCAAGGACCCCCGAGTACTCGTATAGCCTTAACCGTACTTGCAATGAAATTGGGCCAATGACGAACAGGGATAAGTAACAAGTAATTTTTTGTTGCCCTCCTATGACCATTTCTCTTTTGCCCTCCAAATACCCTGCCGTTCGTCATCAGCCCAGTTTCGTCGTGGGCACGGCAATGGTATTACGAGCGCAAGTACAATCCCTTCAATACAACAAAAGCCAATCCTCTAAGTTGTTATGATACCAATATAGTACAAAGCAAGGAAACGTCCCAAATTTCCCTCCTTCCCTTAACCTCAACCTCGTCATCCATTATCACTCGGGTTAAAAATATGCATAATACTGCACTCATCGCGAAACAGAATGCCGATCGAATAAAATAGAGCAAACCAAAACGATGGGAAAAGTGAATACAAATAACTGGTAGTTGCTTGCTTGGATTATAGCTCCACCGAATCCCGCTGATCGAAATCTGGTGGCGGACGCCTGTACACCACTCCACCCTTGCGATCCAGACCAGAATTTTCGTTGCTAATCCAGACATTGTCACTAAATCTGTGTGTGGACCGGATCACATCGCCAGAAATACCAGATCGTCTCTTGGTACCCGGGTCACTGGGCGTTGCGCACGGAGGGCCCCGTGTTGGAATGCTATACCAACGAGTATGTCCCGTTCCGCCGGGGACAAGTCTTCAATCTGATCGGTAAATGTCTTCAAACAACATTAGCTCCGGTCTAGTATGCGGCTGTTGCTTTGGCGGTGGAGGACGCGATTTCATTTGTGGGTCTCTGTCGTCTGGCCCCTCGGCGTGTCTTCCGCCTCTTGAGAATTATGACTTTCCTTCCTTCTTCTTTTCGCGGACGTTGCGGATTTTCCGCATTTCATTCTCATCCGCACGCTGATCCATGCGCCTCTCTCGCTTTTCCCGCTCTGCAAAAACCTCATTCAGATCGTCGCATTCCTGCTCCTCCTGAACGATGTTGCCGCTAGCCAACTGTATTCGCCTTTCGCTATCATTCATCATTCGCCAATGCTTCATCGCGGAGAACAGCGTCATCTTCTAGAGTGATGGGCAAATGGGTTAATAATGGACCGAAAGCCGAGTTCAAAGTATATTGGTATAGGACGGTAAAGATCGTGACAACGATCATGATGATTGCTTGAGGAAAGCAAACATACGATCTTCGGTATCCCAAACAAGGAAGAAGAGACCAATCAAACAAACCTCCATAACATATATTCCTCTAAACCACTGGTTGACTGCCCTGGGGAAGAGCAAACCTCCTGTATCGAAGAGAAAGTTGTTGACGTAGAGAAGATTGTAACGATATACTATCTAGAAAAGACTGAACGTGCAGACATTGAAGATAAGAATCAATGGGGAGATGGTCGAGTGAACAACCCCAACGCACGCCAAATTCACATGCACCGTGAAGATAGTGCCCCATTTCGCCTGCGCAAGCCGTGCCGCCGGGATAAACTCCTGACGAGCGGTAGTCAACAATTGGACTAAGAATGAATTGTGCGAGTAATGTCCCAATTTGTAGAATTGCTCCACCACTAACAGTGAATGCCTGTAGTAGCAGGTTCTGAGAAGAAGAGGTTGGACGCCTTCGGTAGGTTCCGGGCCAAAATTGATGGCGCAGATGCAGTATTATCCGCTAATTGCTGGAGAACGGCGGTAATACCGGATGAGGAATTGACAACGAGGAAAATCTGAATAAACAGGGAAGCAAAATGCATTCCTGAACAGCCCTCGCGATGGCCATACCAGTGTGATTTCCCTGAAGTTTCGCAAATGCACGAAGGATAATGGGTAACAATGCCACCAAGATTGCCAAATCCATTGAGGTAAAACACCTTGGATCAGACCAAGAACAAAGTTGGGAAGCTTATCAATCCATCTCAGCCACGGGGCCGTTTCCGTAAGATAATCAATCTGAGAAACCAAACCAACAATGGCGACCGGGAAAGCCCATCCAACGATCAAACCGCCGGTAGCTATAGTAATACCGGCAATGCGCAAATACCTCTGCCACCAAGAAATCTTCATATTGGACCAGTTGACGTCATCGGGAGAGACCTCAATGTGGCGAGGGCACATATGCTGCGGGATGTGATGAGAAAGCGACTGACAGGCCATATGCGCGGCAACTTGCTGGTCGAACTGGATAAAAGCAGAGTTCATGAGTGGGTATTTTTCGGGTGAGCTCTGATCCTGCTCTATCTCGACATTGAGACGGGCA